ACGGCTTTTCGTTGAATTCATGTCTTAGAAGCTTAAACGTCATTACCAGGGGTAGTGAGGTTGAATTTGAAAGAAATGGGTTGAAATTAGACACGTCGAGCTGTTTGGAGAGCCAAGTAGAGCTCACCGAACTGCTTGACGATTCGACTAACGCCCCCATTCCGCCTTTAATTGAATGCTACATGTATTAATCGATCTTTACCTTTTGGCGATTAGCCTAATGTCGCTAAGCGCACTCAGCGACTCGCCAAAGGACTCTTTGTTCGCCCCTTTTGTCAGCATCCTTGCACCTTCTGTGCATCATTTTCAGTGAACAGCCTAAATGGATGAGTACTTCACCCACTGGTTTGGTGAAGCTATTCTACACCCAGAATTCCTCTGACCCTGTTTAAAATACTGTCTAACTTTTCTCGAAGTCTTTTGCAGAAATGGCTAGACCAAAAGTTGCAGGAAAGGACATGCCACCCCGACATGTAAGAGCACGAGAGTTTAAAAGAGACGATAAGATAGCAGAACTGGCCAAAGAAAGAAAAGAGAGTAAGAAAGCAAGTGCCAGCAGGAGGACCCCCATTAACCCCACTATTCCTTCGTGGAAATGTGGATTCTACACGGCCATAAACTCCTTTTTGGAGGGCCATGAAGTGGACAGAATGGTTGCGGGTAACATCACTGCAGATGCTAGGAATGATAGTCCGAGAACCATTGTCGCATTCCAGGCTAATGCATCAGGCAACGATGCCCCGACAAATGGAGAAAACGTGTAGACAGGATACCCTCTTTACCTCCCTCTCTATCTTTCTTTATTCTCACTATTGGATATTCATCATTTACATTTGAGGACAAATTGTATTTATTTTTTGTGGGGTGAGGCCCACCTTGTTTGCTATTTGTGATTCGTGTTTTGTATATATTTTGGTTGTTTTATTTAAAAGTGTTTTTACAGTGCTTTTTGTGGATATTTGAGCTTATGGCTTTCTTTTGTTTTAAATTACAAAAACAATTTTGACCCTTTCGAAAAAATTTAAATTTTTTGCACATTTTTGCCACCTCTCGTGTGTTGAAAGTGGCTATTCATTTTGCAAAATTTAAGTCTCAGTTCTGATCAATACTGATGACTTGAATAGTGCTATCAATCGAACAAACGTGAATGCGCGGCTACGACGAGACCAAATGAAGTTGCATAGACAATATGTGAACTCTTTGCATCTTGTGGTGATTGACCATTTATCGAATTGATTCTCTTGTAATGACTGTTGCACACTAGCGAAAGTGTATATTCTTGTTTGACTTAAGTGTCAATGCCTTGTGTGATTAGATTACTTTGAACCATGCATGAATAAACTTAGAATTTGCCTCGTTAGTCTGATTGATTTAGAAAGGTATGCTCTTAAAATGATCTTAGGCAACTTTAAAGAGTGTGAGCCAAATTTGACATATACCTCTTTTGTGGCCTACCCGTGACATATACCTATCTTTTGAAGAACCTTGATGAACCCTAGACCTTGCTTGACCCACTACCTATAATCATCTTGATTTGTGGTTTAGTGAATAGCCAACTTAGGTCAAAAGCCTAAGTTGGGGCAGTGGTGAAAACGAAAATGAGAAGTCTAGAAGTGCAAGAAAAGTCTCCCTTAACCAATGGTATTGCAAAACAAAATGCAAACCCTTCAAAAAAAAAATAAAAAAATAAAAAAATAAATATATAATAATTTGTGGAATAAAAGGTGCAAAAACGGATTGGGTTTCCAAGCAATATATGGAGAGTGAAATTAAAGGATGACTTAGAAGCACTAGAAGAAAAAGTGATAAGGGAAAGGAAAAGGACGTTTTTAGAGCACCACATCTCACGAGGATGAAAAAGTCAATGAGACCTTTGCACTCAGCCCCATTACAAGCCTTGATAAGACCTTTTTGATCTTGAGTAAGCCAAATCGAAAGTCGATTGGAAAATAAGGGAAAACCTATGGGTGAAAACATGCATTGTATTCCTCTTTTTGAGTGTGAGCATTGCATCTGATTCCTGATCTTGACTTGATTAACCTCTATGTGTGTACATGTAATCATTCTTTATGTGAGGGCATTAAGATACTTTTGTTGAGCTTGAACTGGCACAAGTAGCAAGTATTGTGAGCGTAAGAATTGTTGGTAATGGTGTGTCACAACTTAAATCTTTGAGTACACAATTGAATCTTCGCATAAGTAGTTTGAAGTATTGTTGTGTACATTCATGATTGAGTCTTCTGTAGCACTGTTTGAGACACCCTTTTTGAACAACTGAACTTGAATTTGCTTGAGGACAAGCAAGAGTTTATGTTGGGGGTGTTGATAAGGCCACAAATTGAACTCATTTAAGGCTATATTTTAATAGAAATTGTCCTCAAATGTTTATTTTATCTCAATATCTGATGAAAACCTTTAAGTTTCAGGAATTTGAAGTTTGAAGGAAAGCATGGACACTACTTTGCAAAAATGAATGAAGAGGCTGAAAAGAACAAGAAAATGAAGTCCAGAGGATCGCCGAGTTCACTTGGCGAATTGGCGAGTTCACATAGCGAATCGCTGAAGGGTCTCACTTCGCCTTTTGTTCCAGTGTGCTGAACCTTGAACGAAAGGATCTAGTCGGCGGAAAAAGGGAACAGTTGGTGCATCGCCGAGGAATTCCACGAAGCAGGATTATGTCACCCAATGACCCAGAGTAAGACGATGCCAAGGATGGTGCAAGACGGCGATGAACCATACCAAGGGGCGAATCGCCGAGTTAATCGGCGATTCTGACTTATATCACCAAATGATTTGCCGCAGCACAAATTTTTGAAAACTATAAATACTCATGGAGAGTTATAGCTTAGTTTTAGTTTTTTAGTATTATTAGACAATATCAGATTCTTAATATAATTTTTAGTACTTTTTATTTTACTCTAAAGTTTGGAGAGGGTTTTGGAAAACTTGAAGAAGAAGAGGGTTTCATCTCTTCCAATTTGGAAGTTGGTCTCTTGGATTCTTCTTTCTTTGCTCAAATCAAAACTTATTCCTCTATACGAATTTGATTTCAACATCATTAAAGGTATAAATTTCTATATCTTGATGTGTTGCTAAAACCCCCCATTCTTGGGATATGATTTAGCAATTATGTGTTGATATTATTGTTGGGTCTTGCTTGCTGACAGGTTAGATGTAGTTTAACGGTGATTTCACCTAGTGGTTGTGGTTTAATTTAATGGGTTTGTAATTGCAAAAACAAAGCCACCCATGTGTTTTTGGTTCGCTCGAGAGGGAAGTCACGAAACCAAGACCACTAGACTGATGGTCTAAGGAGTGGGTCGACATGAGGGTGAGCCGTAGTCCCATACCCTAACACTCAGCTCGAGATAGTGAGTGGGGTAAGGCGTAGGCTGGCCTTGATTTGACAAATAGGTGTTCGAGAGGAACGCATTTGAAACGGGGTAAGTTGATCAAGAGGGAACTTATTTCCATCTAAAGCTTAGCCTAGTCACTATTATGTTGCAAATTTCCTATCGAAAGCATGTACCCAACGATTTATCTCAATTTGTGTTGCGGTCACACCCCAAGAACATCCCCCCATACCCTATTTTCTTATTACTTTTGTTTTTTTCACTACTAGTGACAAAACCCCCAAATCGATATTTGACACTTTTGTGTCACCACCTTTAATTTAATATGTTTTTAATTGTTAATGTATTTCTCTATGACTAATTAGAGCTAAATTTTATTTTTCTATTAATTCTCAAAACAACTCCATTGGGACACGACCCCAGCCTTTAGTTGGGTTACTATATTATTGATGATCGTAGACACTCGTAATGTAGGTTAGTGCCGCTAGTCACGATAAGCATCAATTTTCCAATCAACATTTATTTCAGTTCACTCAAGATCAAAAATGTCTTTCCAAGGCTTGTAATGGGGCAGAGTGGTAAGGTATGGTCATTTAGGCTCAGTGACTTTCATCCTCATGAAATATGGTGCTCACAACAGTTCCTTTCCTTTTCCTTAATCATTTTTGTTAGTGCATCATAAGTCATCCTAAATTCTTTTCTTCTCTCTTTCTCTTTTTCTTTTTTTTTTTATATATGGAAGGGTTTCATTTTTCTCAACACCATGGGTTAAAGGAGACTTTTCTTGCACTTCTTGACTTTACCTTTTCTTTTCACCACACCCCCAACTTAGGGTTTTGGCCTAAGTTGGCTATTCGCTTAACCACAACTTCAGGAGGATTATGGGTGATGGATAAGGAAAGGTGTAGTTTTTATCAAGTTTCTTCTAAAGAAAGGTAAGGCTCAAAGGGTGTTCAAAAGTGGTCCACACACTCACAAGGTATGTCACAAAAAAGGTATATGTCAAATTGGCTCACACTCTTAGAAGTTTCCTAAGATCATATCAAGAGATAACATCACTTAGTTGACCAGACCAACGGGGAAAATTCTAGGATCTATCATGCATGGTTCAAAGTAAGCTCATCACACTAGGTATTGACACTATTGTCAAACATGACTCCACACTTTCGCTAGTGTGCAATGATCATTATAAGAGACTCAATTTGATAAGAGGCTAGTCACAACGAGATGCAAAGAGTTCACATATTGTCTATGCAACTTCATTTGGTCTCATCGTAGCCGCGTATTCATGTTCGTTCGATTAAGAGCACTATTCAAGTCATCGGTATTGATCGAAACTTAGATTTACATTTTGCAAAAGAATAGCCATTTTCAACACACGAGAGGTGGCAAAATTTTTCGGACGGGATCAAAAATCGTTTAGCAATTCATAACAAAAGGAGACATAAGCTCAAACATCCACAGAAACAGTGTAAACACAATGTAAGAACAAAACCCAAATATAAGCAAAACACGAAAATCAATAGCACACAAAGGTGGGCCTTACCCCCACCACAAATAAAATCATTTGTCCTCAAATTCAAATAGCAGAATATCCTTAATTTAAAATAAAGAAAGACAGAGAGGGTGGTAAAGAGGTGATCCTGGCTAATCTGTCACTCCATCTTCCAGAGCTTCAGTACCTGATGTGTCAACCTGGAATTTGATAATGCCCCTTGGAGCTTCTTTAGAAGATTCAGCGGTAACTGACTTACTCAGATTGTCCAAGTCATGAGCCACCAAAAAGGAGTGGATAGTTGTGAAGAATCTACGTCTCCACGAAGGAATAGTGGTGTCTCGAGGATTTGTTCTCTTGCTGGCACTGGGCTTCTTGCCCTCATTATCCGTTTCGGGAGGATTTGTTTCATTTGTATTTTTCTTGAAATTTTTTGCTTTTGTTTGTTGGGGTGGCATATCTCTTCCAGCTACGTTCGTTCTATCCATTTCTGCAAAGCTTAGAGAAAAAGTTAGAAGGTATTCAGACAAAAGCGAGGCAGTTCAATTGCAAAATCACTTCGCTGAACCAGTTAGTGAAGCGCGCAACTACTTTGGCATTTCGACGAGTGCAGTACATAGAGAATACAAGGGTGCAGACAAAGGGCGAAGAGGAAGTCTTTCAGCGAGGGGCCGAATGCGTTCGGCGACATCATGCTTCTCATCGGAAGTTACAAAATTCAACATCACATTTGGCATTAAATTAAAGGCGAGATAGGGATTTCGGGCGAACCGCCGAGTGATTAGGCGAGCTCGATCCATCTCGCTAAATGACCCAACGTTCCTACCTTTGACTCAATTTCCGAATTCAACCCCGTAACCTCCGAAAAGAAAATCAGGGCATTCACAAATCAAATTAGGCTTAGACCCAGTGACAATTATGCACAATCCATGATTTTTCATCCAATTTAAAGCGCAACCTTCAGGAATTAACTATTTAACTTCATACAGGCAAACTTTGCGAACCTAACAGGCAAGCAAATATTCTAATCCTACCAGAGAAGCCCAACACACATCATCAAATTAATGTCATTACATTTGAGTACAAATTTCTAGGAAAGGAACGCGGAGTTTGAAGTACAAACCTTTTATGCCGATCAAATGGATATTGAGATGCTAGAAAGCAATGTAATCCAACAGGTAGAACAATTCGACACTAAAAATACTCTAAAACTGAAAGAAATGTAAAACTAGAGTGCATGTGTGAGTTTGGGAAGACAAAAAGTGAGGGAAAGTGAATGAGTTAGAATTTTTAAACCCGTGGGCCGAAAAACTGTCAAGTTTTTTGTCATTCGACATCATTAGTCCCGATCGCCGATGTATTCGGCATAACGCCAAGTAGTCATTTGCCTCGTCGAAGTTTACGGAACCTCCATGTTTTGTGGGAGTCCAAACAGCGGTCTCTATTGGGATCGCTGACATAGTCAGTTATTCTCCAAAAAATTCCAGTGCTCGCCAAGCTTTACAGACTCCAATGTATGTTGGTCTTTAGTCTAACGACGGTCTAGTTTAGGGTCGCCGAACCGTTCGGTGATTCGCTGATAGGACCTGTTACTCACCAATCTGCATTTTTTGTTCACTCGCTGCACTTCCATTTGCGCAATCAACACACCATTATTTTATTAAAGCAACATAAAGAAATAAAGGTTTTTTGGTTTGCCTCCTAAACAACGCCTTAGTTAACATCGTGGCACGAGCAAGTCAACACTCCAACCTCGTTTTTGGGCTTGAACCTAGTTCATTGGGATAGAGCTTAGGCATTACATGACCCAAAAGAGTTTCAATTAGCTGGATAGATCTAGAGTGAGAACCGCTCATCTGATTTTGCACTTCTACATTTTCTCGAATCACCTTTAACACTCTATCTTGCTCACTTAGCTTTGGGAAAATAGTTAATAACATATCCTCGATACGTGTATTCTCATTGTCCATAAACATTCCCTGCTCGGTAGGTGGTATGCATTTGCTCTTCTGTTTGGACATCACCTCCAGTTCCTTGACCTTTTGGGTCAAGTTATCCCTCTGACCCAGCAAAATGATCAATTGCTGATCTTTTTCAGTATCCTTGTTGGTTTTAGCCACAAGGTCAAGTAATTTGGTTGCGGTCTCATAGGGGTATCTCTCGAGGCCACCCGGGATCAATTGATCGATTAATCCTCTGTTTCCGAGATTGAGACTCCTATAGAAGCTCTCCAGTAGAGCCAGATAGGGAATTTCATGAGTTGGGCATTGTATCAATAGTGCTTTAAACCTCAACCACTACTCATGAAAATGTTCACCTTCCATCTGTTTGAAGGTTAGGATGCTATCACTGAACCTCATCACTTCCACCGATGGTGCTCTATTGGTTCATAGTCATTAACCACACTCATCTCTCCTGTTTCAGTAAAAACAACTGAACAAAACTAAACTAAAAATTAAGTTAGTAAAACTACAACTAAGAAGAACAAAAATTCTACTAATTTAAGAATTCTCAAATAACACCACTCCCCGGCAGCAGCGCCATTTTGATGTTTGCATAATCAAGACACAACTTTCAATGCAAGTGTCTACGATCGTACAATAGTAAAGTAACCCTACAAAGGTGTCACGCCTCAGATCTGATTTAGACGGACAGGCACCCGATGGCTAAATGGCCCGAGAGAACCAACTTACAACCTGTACTTACCATACATTTAACTATGATAACTATGAAGCTATGACAAGCTTATATGCCCTGTAATGATAAAAGACCCACATAGACAGGCCCAAAACTTATGTACAACACTTTGCCGTGGAGGCCACAATTGTTAAGAGACAAGACACAACCAAACTTTATACATTAGTCTACAAAGCCTCTACAAGATCGACAACCTTAGTTTAGGTCGGGACAAGGCCCCGCCTTACCCTTAACTACTATACGGTAACAAAATAGATGCCAAAGACTCGATTAAGCCCCGAATCAACTTGGAGCTCACCAATAGCAGCTGAGTGTCCTGTGCTCCTATTGGGGAGGTCTACTAGTTGGAGTACCTGTGCCTGCAACATGAAATGCAGCGTCCCCCGAAAGGGACGTCAGTACGAAGAATGTACTAAACATGTCAGGCAATAACATATGTAAACAAGAGCTCAATTGAAATCAAGTATCAATATGTAACTGCATAGATTAGATTAAAGACCACCCTTGTTGCTGTTGTGGGATCATGTACATTATATTATTTTTTGTAAATTTTCTTTACATTGCGATCTCTATAAAGCATGTGATACAAATAACCAACTGATCAGTGGTAAAAGAGGATGACCCATGCTAGGCATTTTAACCCCTGAGATGCTGTCCTCAAATATATAAATTTGGGATCGACTCATGCTAGGCTTTTGCCCCTGGGCTGCCACCCTTACACATATACCGCTTCATATAGTTTCTTTAATCTTTGAGATTGTTATTTTGGTGGTCATAATTATTTTTTGAGCATCAAAACTGTACCACTCAGATAGTACAACGAATTAACCTCCTTCCTTTCCGATTATTAATCTACAATGAAATAAGTAAGACAACTAATATTAGTAGCTAACCAACAGATTGGGCTACTTAAACTTGGCAAACAGTAATCAGGCAGCAAACCCATACTTATCAAACCGATGGTATGCATTCCACCCCTTCTCCTTTCATAACGTCATATACAATACGACCTTCTAATAAGGTCCCCTGAACTCCTCGGGCTTTATAACATATGCAAAACAGTAAATAAAGGGGTTGTAGGCAGCAAGCTTATGCAACGCCCAATTAGATGGTACGTTACTGCACCCTTTACCGTTTTATCCTTTAACAAGTTCTCATGACTTCTGCATATGCCTCCTTATGTTACTATACACAAATCAGTTTCTAAACATCAGAATGTGGCAGTAGCAATATGAACTCACGGTTTCCGACCACTGTCCCTTGAGCATCCAACTAACATTACATTTAAAATGCTCAAATGGGCTAACAATTGAGTTAAAGGGGACTCCCCTCCATGGCTGTCCCAACATGCACAATCAACCAGAACATTCCCCAATCTCACACCATGTAAAAGGAACAATTCTCAGCTCATTAACACATACCAAATCCCCTAACCGATTCAAGTACAAAAGAGGGATGAAAAAATTAACATATGGCAGTAGCCTTACCTTAAGGTGAAATAAGTATCTCCTCTTGAATTTCTTAAGATGGGAGATGTTACACCAACTTGTACTTAAAAAATAAAGGGTTTTCTCAGATTTTTAATGGTGAACTTGCAGGCCAGCACTTTGGAGCTTCTAGGGTTTCTTTTTGGGAGTAAATTGTTGTAGAACAAGTGAGAGATTTATGAAATGAATTTCATTCTCTTAAGGGTCCTTTATGGACGTTTTTACATTAAGAAAAATGTAGAAATATCTAGTCCCTCACTTTAAGTAAGCAGGTACATCACTCCCTTAATTTCTGCCACAAGTTCTTTAAGTAGCTGCATCACCTAGTTGCCCTTTTCTTTTAAATTGCAGTCCACATATTTCCTAACTAGGTGCATCACCTACTTACCACTTATTTAAGTAGGTCAGCAGTTAATCCACCATTAAAAACCTATGTCATCCTTTCTACGTAAGCTACACATGTACGTGAGTAACTTAATTACGTAAGATATCCGAATCAGTAGCTTAAGCAAGTAGGTTGATTACTATGACAAATTTTACTTTACTTACTCTACTTAGCCTCAAGCCTCTTCCGAATATTGTCAAACCTATTTCAAACCCTCACTACTCACATAGAACTAGTATATGCAAAATATGGGACGTTACATCCTCCCCTCCTTAGGAACATTCGTCCTCGAATGTTTGCCTAATTATTCAGCTCCAATCAAGTTCAATCAAGCCTATGTTGAATTCTACTGTTAGCCACATAATACGCACAGACTTATACTTACTTGTTACTGTCTCAACTCAGCACTTTGACCCTTCTCCTCGGATTGAAATAAATGAGGATATTTGGACATCATTGCTTCTTCCGCCTCCCATGTAACTTCTTCAACTTGTTGGTTTCTCCATAGTACTTTTACAGAAGCTACTTCTTTATTTCTTAGTTTCTTAACTTATCGATCCTAAATTGCGATGGGTACTTCTTCGTAAGTGAGATCTTCTGTAACGTGTACATCTTCCCTAGGAGTGATACGAGATGGGTCGCCTATGCATTTTCAAAGCATTGAGACATGAAATACTGGATGGACTGTTGAGAGCTCTTGAGGTAGCTCTAACTCATATGCGACTTGAACAACTCTTCGAATAATTTTATATGGCCCTATATAGCGCGGACTCAGCTTCCCCTTTTTACCAAATCTCATTACCCCTTTCATTGGGGATACCTTCAAAAATACCCAATATCCTATGAAAAATTCCAGTCCTCTCCTTCTATTATCTGCATATGATTTATGTCGGCTTTGAGCTGTTGCTAATCGTTGTTGTATCACCTTAACTTTTTCCATAGCTTGATGAACAAGATCTGGCCCAAATAAGGCAGTTTTGCCCGCTTCAAACCATCCGATCAGTGACCTGCACTTTCTCCCATAGAACGTTTCATAAGGTGCCATTCTGATACTTGAATGGTAGCTGTTGTTGTAAGCAAACTCAATAAGCGGCAAATGATCATCCCACCTACCTTTGAAGTCTAATATACAAGCTCGCAACATATCCTCAAGTGTTTGGATTGTTCGTTCTGCTTGACCATCCGTTTGAGGGTGAAAGGTTGTGCTTAAATTCACTTGTGTTCCCAAACTCTTCTGAAATGACTTCCAAAAGTTCGCGGTGAATTGAGCTCCTCTATCAGATATAATAGAGATTGGTACTCCATGTAGCCGAACTATCTCTTTAATATACGACTTTGCATACTCTTCAACTGTATAAGTAGTCTTGACCGGTAAGAAGTGCGCTGCTTTGGTAAGTCTATCAACAATCACCCATTTGGAATCAAACTTCCGAAATGAGCGAGGCAAACCAGTGACAAAATCCATATTAATCATATCCCACTTCCAAATTGGAAGTTCTATACGCTGCATATAACCTCCAAGCTTCTGGTGCTCTACTTTAACTTGTTGACAATTTGGACATTGAGCTACAAATTCTGCAACGCTCTTCTTCATGTTACCCCACCAATATACTTCTTTCAAGTCATGATACATTTTTGTTGATCCCGAATGGACAGAATATCTTGAATGATGTGCTTCCGTCATAATCCTCCTTCTTAGTCCATCTATGTTAGGTACACACAATTTGTTTTGGCATTGAAGTACTCCCTCTTCTGTAAGCTCAAATGCCTTTGTCATACCTTGTTGTACATTCTCCTTAAGTTGTAATAGGATTGGATCCGTGTATTGCTTCTCTTTCACCTCCGCTACAAATGAGGATTCTGCAGCATTTTGTACAATAGCTCCTTCATCTGGAGATTCAAGAAGGCTAACCCCCAAGCTAGCTAATTGACGTAGATCTTTAGTTATTTGCTGCCTTCCTATGGACTGCTCATAAGTGCTTGCCATTATTTTACGACTTAAAGCATCAGCTACAACATTTGCCTTCCCGGGATGATACAAGATATCAATGTCATAATCTTTTAATAACTCAAGCCACCTTTGTTGCCTCAAATTCAGATCCTTTTGCTTAAAGATGTATTGCAAACTCTTGTGATCAGTATATATATCAACAAGAACACCATACAAGTAGTGGCGCCATATCTTCAAAGCAAACACAACTGCTGCTAGCTCTAGATCATGGGTTGGATAGTTTTTCTCATGTGACCGCAACTGCCTTGAGGCATAAGCTATCACCTCACCATGCTGCATCAACACACATCCTAAGCCCACTCCCGATGGATCACAATACACTACGTACCATTCCGTGCCTTCTGGAAGTACCAATACAGGTGTAGAAGTCAATTTATTCTTCAGTTCTTGGAAGCTTCTTTCACATGTATCGCTCCACTGGAACTTGACTTCTTTTTGTGTTAGTTTTGTTAATGGTGCGGAAATAGAAGCAAATCCTTCAACAAACCTTCTATAATAACCTGCCAACCCAAGGAAACTACGAACCTCCGTAGGTGTTGTAGGTCTTGGCCAGTTCTTCACAGCTTCTATCTTTTGGGTATCAATCCTTACTCCTTTATCAGATACAATATGACCCAAAAATGCCACAGATCTTAACCAAAACTCACATTTAGAGAACTTTGCGTACAACTTTCGATCACGAAGAATCTGTAGCACCTGCCGCAAGTGATTAGCATGGTCCTCTTCAGATCTTGAATACACCATAATGTCATCTATAAATACTATCACGAACACATCCAAAAATGGCTTGAACAACCTATTCATCAAATCCATAAAAGTTGCTGGTGCATTTGTTAGCCCGAATGACATAACTAAAAACTCTAAATGACCATACCGTGTTCGAAAAACCGTCTTGGGTATATCTTGATCTCTGACCCTCACTTGGTGATAACCCGACCTCAAGTCAATTTTTGAAAAGCACTTAGCACCCTGTAACTGATCAAACAAATCATCAATTCTTGGGAGGGGATATTTGTTCTTAATCGTTACCTTATTCAATTGTCGGTAATCAATAGACATTCTCAATGAGCCATATTTCTTGCGTACAAATAAAACTGGTGCTCCCCAAGGGGACATACTAGGCCTTATGAATCGTTTTTCTAACAAATCATTTAATTGTTCGTTCAACTCCTGTAATTCTGCTGGGGCCATTCTATATGGAGGAATGGAGATAGGTTTAGTATCTGGAATTATATCAATACCAAACTCTACTTCTCGTTCTGGAGGCAAACCTGGAAGATCTTCAGGAAATTCATTTACCACTGGAACAGATTGAAGAGTTGGTGGATCTGCATCTATATTTCTTACTCTTACTAAATGGCATATGTAGCCTTTGTACATCATCTTCTTCACCCTAAAATAAGAAATAAACTTACCTCTTGGCGCCCCAATATTACCTTTCCATTCAAGGACTGCCTCTTTTGGTAAATGGAAATGCACCATCTTAGTTCGGCATTCTACTGTAGCATAACAAGAAGCTAACCAATCCATACCCATTATGACATCAAAATCAACCATTTCTAGTTCAATAAGGTCATCTAATGTATTACGACCACAAACAATTACTATGCACTTTCGATAGACTCTTCTAACTATAATAGATTCACCAATCGGTGTAGACACTTCAATTGGTTTAACCAATAATTCTGGTGTTCTTTTGAACTTTGCAGCAATCAATGGAGTGACATATGATAGTGTAGACCCCGGATCAATTAATACATATACAATATGTGATAAGATGGATAATGTACCTGTAACCACATCCGGTGAAGCCTCTAAATTTTGTCGATTCCCTAAGGCATACGTGCGATTCTGAACTCCACTAAAACTAGATGCCCCTCTAACACCTCTACCACGACCTGCAGGCATTTGTGCACCCCTGCCTAAAGAAGGAACTGATGAAGACGATGCAACAATCGATCCAGCAGGTTGTGCCATACTGCCCATGCCCCTTTGAGGGCAATTTCTCATCATGTGTCCCGGTATACCACACCAAAAACAAGCATCTGTCCCAAACCTACATGTGCCTAGGTGATTTCTCCCGCATTGAATACAAATTTGTCGAGGAGGTCTTGATTAGCTCATAATTCCCTACTCGTGGTGCCCCGCTGTTCTTGAGCTTTGGCTTTCACCTCTTTGCCCAAACTGATCGCCCCTAGACCCTCGTGGTGGAGCACTAGCTGTAGAGTAGGAAAATGATGGCCTAGGCAGTCTATTAGAAAACCGAGGCTTAAACTCACCTTGAGATTGGGTAAACTGCCCCGTAGATTTGGCCCTCTTGGACTGCCCTCTTTCCGACTCTTGTGCCCTTCTTCTTTGCCTTTGATCCTCCAACTTTTGTGCAAAATCTTGCATCCTCGCTATATCCATGTCTTTATTCAAAGAAGCAATGGTACAATCTCTAACCAAATATGAATCTAATCTGTCCACATATCGATGAACTCTATCCTCCATAGTAGACACTATGTTAGGAGCATACCTGGATAAAGAATTAAACTTGAGATTGTACTCCCTCACGCTCATATTCCCTTGGTGGAGATTTAAAAACTGATCAGCACGGGCCTCTCGGATCTCCAATGGCAGATAATGGTCAAGAAATGCCTTTTTGAACTCTTTCCAACTAGCTAAAGGTGTATTTGTAACCCTAGATTGCTTCCAAGCTTCATACCACAATATAGCCATACCCCTGAGTCTATATGTTGCTAGCTCAATTTCTTCTTTACCACTTACATGCATAACATCCAAAGTTCGTTGAATCTGATTAATAAAGTCTTGCGGATCTTCTTTAGGATCTGACCCGGTGAATGATGGAGGGTCCAAATTAAGAAAATCACGTATCCGCATACTAGCAGCCCTATCTGCACCACTCGTACCTGCAATTGGACCTTCTAGCCTTTGCCCTTGGCCAGCAACTATATGAGTCAATAATTGGACTGCATTCTTTAATTCTTGCTCAGTAGTATTAATAAGGGGTTCTCGAGGTGCTGCTTCCCTCCTTAAATCATCTGGAGATGGAGGAGTTGGGGAAGTCTGTGATAGAGACTCATTTTGAGCCTCACTTTGATCAGCATGTCTAGGTAATGATTGGCTACTCCCTTCTCCGGCAGCCACATCTATTTGCTTGCCTGTATTTACTCCTTCTCGTAACCGGCATTTTTGCTATAATAAAACAAGTTAGAGGTTAGATATAATCCACCTACAATATGGCTCTATCGCACGATCTAGAAGATGAAACAATAGAAACAACTCCTACATATCTCGTAGCCTCCTGTTTATAGATGTGGTGCACAACACATCCATAAGCAAGACTCTACATAGACACGGCTTTGTAGACTCCCTAGCATGACCTGCTCTGATACCACTTTTGTCACACCTCAAATCTAATTTAGACGGACAGGCACCCGATGTCTAAATGGCCCGGGAGAACCAACTTACAACCTGTACTTACCATACATTTAACTATGATAACTATGAAGCTATGACAAGCTTATATGCCCTGTAGTGATAAAAGACCCACATAGACAGGCCCAAAACTTATGTACAACACTTGGCCGTGGAGGCCACAATTGTTAAGAGACAAGACACAACCAAACTTTATACATTAGTCTACAAAGCCTCTACAAGATAGACAACCTTAGTTTAGGTCGGGACAAGGCCCCGGCTTACCCTTAACTACTATACGGTAACAAAATAGATGCCAAAGACTCGATTAAGCCCCGAATCAACTTGGAGCTCACCAATAGCAGCTGAGTGTCCTGTGCTCCTACTGGGGAGGTCTACTAGCTGGAGTACCTGTGGCTGCAACATGAAATGCAGCGCCCCCGAAAGGGACGTCAGTACGAAGAATGTACTGAATATGTAAGGCAATAACATATGTAAACAAGAGCTCAATTGAAATCAAGTATCAATATGTAACTGCATAGATTAGATTAAAGACCACCCTTGTTGCTGTTGTGGGATCATGTACATTATATTCTTTTCTGTAAATTTTCTTTACATTGCGATCTCTGTAAAGCATGTGATACAAATAACTAACTGATCAGTGGTAAAAGAGGATGACCCATGCTAGGCATTTTAACCCCTGAGATGCTGTCCTCAAATATATAAATTTGGGATCGACCCATGTTAGGCTTTTGCCCCTAGGCTGCCACCCTTATACACAAATTCGGATCGACCCATGCTAGGCTTTTGCCCCTAGGCTGCCACCCTTACACATATACCGCTTCATATAGTTTCTTTAATCTTTGAGATTGTTATTTTGGTGGTCATAATTATTTTTTGAGCATCAGAACTGTGGATCAGTAGTAGGAAACATGTGAATATGCCCTTAGGGCAATAACAATAACACAAGATGGAAATGTAACACTAATGAATTACATAAGAGCTCAAATGACACAATGGACCTCATTTGATTGACAGGAGGAATCACAAAGCTATTGCTGAAATTACCCTTTTCTTATACCAATACTTAGAAAAGTAAAGATGCACATATATTGAAGCAATTCAACACAATAAGGAGAGGGGAACTTTTGTTAGCTGTGTTTGGGATTGTACGCTGCCACTAAGTGTCTTTTACTTGAAAGAGCACTTAGGAAGCTCACTTGTTGGTAGTGACACAAGCAGAGTTCATGCCAAATAATATAGAATCGAATAGCCTTACATACCTTGCTGTACCACTCATATAGTACAACAAATTAACCTCCTTCCTTTCCTTTTATTAATCTACAATGAAATAAGTAACACAACTAATATTAGTAGCTAACCAACAGATTGGGCTACTTAAACTTGGCAAACAGTAATCAGGCAGCAAACCCATACTTATCAAACCGATGGTATGCATTCCACCCCTTCTCCTTTAATAACGTCATATACAATACGACCTTCTAATAAGGTCCCCTGAACTCCTCGGGCTTTATAACATATGCAAAATAGTATATAAAGGGGTTGCAGGCAGCAAGCTCATGCAACGCCCAATTAGATGGTACGTTACTGCACCCTTTACCGTTTTATCCTTTAACAAGTTCTCATGACTTCTGCACATGCCTCCTTATGTTACTATACACAAATCAGTTTCTAAACATCAGAATGTGGCAGTAGCAATATGAACTCACGGTTTCCGACCACTGTCCCTTGAGCATCCAACTAACATTACATTTAAAATGCTCAAATAGGCTAACAATTGAGTTAAAGGGGACTCCCCTCCATGGCTGTCCCAACATGCACAATCAACCAGAACATTCCCCAATCTCACACCATGTAAAAGGAACAATTCTCAGCTCATTAACACATACCAAATCCCCTAACCGATTCAAGTACAAAAGAGGGATGAAAAAATTAACATATGGCAGTAGCCTTACCTTAAGGTGAAATCAGTTCCTCCTCTTGAATTTCTTAAGATGGGAGATGTTACACCAACTTGTACTTGAAAAATAAAGGGTTTTCTCAGATTTTTAATGGTGAACTTGCAGGCCAGCACTTTGGAGCTTCTAGGGTTTCTTTTTGGGAGTAAATTGTTGTAGAACAAGTGAGAGATATATGAAATGAATTTCATTCTCTTAAGGGTCCTTTATGGACGTTTTTACATTAAGAAAAATGTAGAAATATCTAGTCCCTCACTTTAAGTAAGCAGGTACATCACTCCCTTAATTTCTGCCACAAGTTCTTTAAGTAGCTGCATCACCTAGTTGCCCTTTTCTTTTAAATTGCAGTCCACATATTTCCTAAGTAGGTGCATCACCTACTTACCACTTATTTAAGTAGGTCAGCAGTTAATCTACCATTAAGAACCTATGTCATCCTTTCTACGTAAGCTACACATGTACGTGAGTAACTTAATTACGTAAGATATCCGAATCAGTATCTTAAGCAAGTAGGTTGATTACTATAACAAATTATACTTTACTTACTCTACTTAGCCTCAAGCCTCTTTCGAATATTGTCAAACCTATTTCAAACCCTCACTACTCACATAGAACTAGTATATGCAAAATATGGGACGTTACACAAGGATTGAGATCGTTCCCAAAAGAGTGGTTATGAGAATTAATAGACAAATAAAATTAGGTTCTAACTAGACGTAGCTAAAGACATTAACGATAAAAAAACATTCTAAATTAAAGGGGGACACAAGAGTGTCAATTAACAATGGGGTTTTGTCACTAGTAAGCAAAAATAGCAAAATAAACAAGGATTTCTAAGTAATGAGAGGGGATTCTTGGGATGTAACGGGAATACGTGCTAAGCTAGATTATTGGGTACATTCTTTCGATAGAAGATTCATAGAATAATTGTGACTAGGCTAAACTTAAAGGGGAATAGCTCTCTCTCGAGCAACTTACCCCATTTCGAATGCATTCCACTCGGACACCCACTATCCGCATGAAGACCCGCCTACGCCTTAACCCACTCACTCTCTCGAGCTGAGTGTGTTGGAATGAGACTAGAATTCACTCTCTCGAGTTGAACCTCATGTCGACCCATTCCCACGGGCCATCAATTTAGTTGTTTTAGTTTTACGACCACTCTCTCAAGCAAGCTGAAAACACAAAAATAAACTTGTATTTGCAACTACAAATTGATTAATTCATCCACAACTACTAAACAAATTCACAATTAAACTACGATTAAACTATCAGCAAGCAAGACCCAACAATTAACTTAACCCATATTCGCTAAATCACACCCCAAGAATTGCGATTTTTAGCCACAAATGTATAAGAGGTAGAAATTTATACTAAATTGAGCTCACATTCAACTGGGTATGAAGATTTAAGTCTTAATACAAGCCAAAATTGAAGAATCCAAGGGACCCAATTCCAAATCTTTAAGATGAAACCCTTAGGATCTTCAAGTCTTCAAAACCCTCTCAAACTTACAACAAAAATATCAAAAAGTACTATTCTATATGAAAATTATAATAATTGTTCCACACTTAAAAC